ATTCAATTTCAATGAAAAGTGTTCTAAAAGATTGAATTTTTATAGGAAAATATAATTATTCAGAATATTTAAAGGAACAGAAGCAAAACATCATCAAAGGGAATAAGTCTTTGCCTTCTGTATAAAAATACAGACTGCATATGAGGGATGTGGAAACTAGAATCACACAAATTTGTGGCAATGACTGTGGATGACAGTTCTGATTCTCATGGTCTAGTTGTAAATATATGATATGATATTGTCAAGTGCTCATTAAAAGGTCCCCTCTTATTGTTCAGTAAATTTATGACAGAGTTTATTATTTGGACAGTCAGAAGATGATGTATTTTTTGTAGGAAGTTCAGATTGCTTTGTCCCTCAGTGTCTTTGATTATAATTTCCACAAGGAAGTTTCTTCCAATTCAATAACAGATTTGTTGGAAGCAAGTAAACCCAAGTAAAAAGGATTTGGGCATTAACTGGAGGAAGTCCAGTAGGGAAGATACTTGCAGTACTTGGGAAAGGATAATTTGTCCCTCTCTTGGTATCTTTATTTATGGTTGTTTGAAGTACTAGCCAATGAGTTGCCATTCATAAATCATTGACATTTGTCAGTGGCTAGACTCTAGATGGATTATGAACAAATGCTGTTGGCTTCCCAAATGCAACAGCTGTGGCAAACATGAGTGTAATCTCAGGACTGTAGACTATTGTTGCAACTTGCACTTCAGTGATTGACACGTTTTTTTGCAGTGCCAGAAAGCGTGAGATGTTGTATTATTAGAAGCTTTTTTTTTTTAAGGCATGAAAGAATTTCCTTAGGTTTTCAGGAGTCTAATTTGTTTTGTTTGAAGCTTGATATGGTATCAGTTCTTCCAACTGCTATTTTTTATGCTAGTGCTAATCCTTGGTAGGGTTGTACTAGAGCTGCTTTTTGATTCTGAGTTTATGATTTCAATAGTTAACAAAGGCTTAGGAGATACAGGCCAGATGTATCTAAAAGGCTATCTCTCCTGAACAGTTGGGTTGATTAACAGGGAAGTTTGACAGCATTTACAAGGCCACATGGTAGGATTAGAGAGGGTCTCTGCTTTGAAACATGTGACCTCTGGGAGTTAGCCTGAGGCATTCATGAACACCTTTGCACAATTGGGGTGCAGTGCAATAATAGCAGTGGTCATTTCAGTTTGCAGAAGTATTTGTGTTTGCCTGTCCAGCATATTATAATGTGTGGTGCGTGGGGTTTTTGTGTTTTGTTTATTGGTAGAGATGTGAAGGCTGGTTTTTTGTCCATTTTTTTCCTGAAGCCTTTTTTGTTTTTTTTCCAAAAAATTGAGAAAAGAAAAGAAAAAAAATGATTATGGAACATTTTATTTTAACATGATGAATAAAATATTTTAAGACAAGTTGTTCAAATATTTTCCAAATCATTTCTAAAAAATATGTATGGTATCAGATTGATCTAATTTCTGTGCACTGAGGACAAGCAAGTCCTAGGTTACAAACTGAACTCTCCAATGCAAGAACAAGACACATTTCTTCCTTTAGGAGGTGCTATTGTCACAAGAAAAGAAAAAGGTTTCAGTTTTGTTTTTGCATGTGGGTGGGTATTCTGTTTGTAATAATTGTTTGGATACACTATATTTTTTTGATATGCTAGTTGTGATAATTTCATGCCAAGTAAAAATGTCCATAGTCATATTTTATGTTCCTAAAGTAACAGAATGACTTTCAAGCGGGAAAAGAACAAAGAAGTGCTAATGTAGCATTTTTTTTTCAATTGTTCTGAAAATTTCAGTCCCCCCCCCAAAAAAAAACAAACGGATTTTTTCCGAGCTTCAAAATTTCCAGAAATTTTACATTTCTATTTATTGGTAATGTATATAATCTAGTTCATAACTGAGGTTTTCAAGGTGACTCACAAAAGTCATCAATACAATAAAACCAGTAAAATTGTAATCTCAATAAAGAGTTATCAATTGTTATAACAATGAAATGGCAGCATATCAGTTAATAAGAAAATTAAAACTAATAGAACAGTAGTTATGAATAATAACAATGAAACAAAAAACACTAGTTATTACCAGAGGCATGGGAATTTAAAAAAATATATCTTTTACCTTGATGTCAAAAAAATTAAGACAGAAAGCACCAGGCAAGTTGATTCAGGGAAGGATGTCCACAGGCAGGATGTCACCACAGAGAAAGCTCTATCTTTATTAATTTCTGAAGATGGGAGTACATAGAACAGGTTTTCTGACAGTGATCTCAGCAGATGGATAGAGGAAGTAGTCCCTACGGTACTACCAGGCAATTCTATTTTCCAAGCCTTTTAATGGACTATAACTGCATGTATCTCTTGGGAGGAGGGGTTTATTTGGGGTTTTGGTCCTTTTGAATGGTAACAAGGGGGACCTGGAAAACTCACAGTGAGGGGAATCCCATCCTTCTCCCTGTCTGCTTGTTTGGCTACTTGCCAACCATTCCAGGCTGCTTGCAGTGCCACCGCCTCCACCTGCCTGGATCATATGGCTGCCGCAGTGTCAGGGAGACAGCAGTGGCTCCTGCTCCCCTTCCTGTTTGTGGCATCTCTGCTTCCACCTCCCTGGCTCACATGAAGCCAGTGAATAGCAACAGCTGTCACAATAGCTCATGTTGGGGCCAGTGGTTGCTGCTCCCCTTCTCCCCGCCACCTGCGATAGCAGCGGTGGGTGCGGCAGCTCCTGCTTCTCTTTGCCTGTCTGGCTTGCTGGCTCACACAGTGGTAGGCATCTACTCCCTTTTCCGAAATGGTGGCCAATCTTACAATGTAGACTTTTCCTAAAAATATTACCTTGTAACCGGGGGGGGGGGCGGTCTGCAAACCCTGGGAGTGTTACCAAAGTCTGTAGAGAAATACCCCCTTATCTGTAACCTGTTCCATTCTCTGTGTTTTTTGATCAACACGGACCAAGTTCAGAATTCAGCACTTGATGTTATTAATTATGATTTGTGAGCCTTCTTGGGCCATGAGAAAGGCAAGATACAATTATTTTAATAAATAAGGTGTACCACTACAAGCCCATTTAGGGTTCTAGGGATAAGAACCAGTATTTGGAATTCTGCTTGGAAACAAATTGGCAGCTAGGGAAGTTTCAGTACTGGTGTTCCTAGGGAACTGTATAGGTTGGTGGTTCTGAACTATGATGAACTAATTGAAGTTTCTGAATAGTCTACAAAGGCAGTCCTGTGTAGAGTATATTGTAGTAATAGTTTCTGGTTGTGAACAGACCATGAAGACCATGGCTAGTTCTTGCCAAGTGCACAGAAAGAGGAAAGAGGATGTTTAGTAACTCCATAGTTATATACGACTGTATAGTTTAATAGGTCAGTCACTACTGTATTTACTCAAAAGAAGGATGACTCTGAATGTAAGATGACCCTCTTAAAAATGTTATACACACAAAAACCCATTATTGGACATAACTGTATTACATACAAATGTAAAACAAGGCCTTTCTTATGATATCCCTGGGGGAAAAACACAGACCGATTCCCCACAAGCAGCTGTGCCGCCCTCACTCATATGTTTCCCCCACTTGCATTGGTCAGTTTCACACTATTCGCTGTGCAGCCGCATTTTGACCTGCAGCTCCCCCCCCATTTCCCCTGTGTCTTCTTGATCCTTGTTTTTTGATGTCAAGAATTGGGGGGAGCTGTGGATCAAAATGCGGCCATGCAGCGAATATTGTGAAATTGACCGATGCGAGTGGGGGAAATAGAAGAGTGAGGGCGGCACAGCTTCCTGTGGGGAATTGATCACAGTCTTGCATTAGAGTAAATGCTATATCAGTAAAGTGTCTGGCTCCTGTGTAGACAACAGAAGTTGTAAAACTTGGCCATGCATGGACAAAGTAAGGATCTCTACCTACTCAGGAGTCCTCCTTGATGTGCAGAAAAATACAGCTTCATACATAAATTTGAACGGTGAGCGGCGGTCCCATAGTAGGGGCAGACGTCGCCCTAATACAGCTCGGGATACACTCTTCCTGGCGTTCTGCAGGAAATAACTTGGCCGTCAGTCTGGGATGTCGTCCACCCTGGATGTAAATTGTATGTAATTTATGATAGCACCAATTTTATGATAGATATCTGTTTTTAATATGTTTGTGATATGTATATTTTAACCTCGGCATTGCCGCCTGTTAGCCGCCCCGAGCTGAATACTGGATGGGGCGGGATATAAATCTCAAAAAATAAATAAATAATAATAATAATAAATAAAAGGAAGATGAAAACCGCAAACAATCTGATGGGAACTGAATATGCTCCAGAAGAATAGATTGCCAAAGTTAGTTAAAGAGAAAAAATGCAGAGGGCAGGAGGAGAAAGCAGCCTGCTCAAACTCTTGAGAGCTTACAGGATTCTGAAGGGTAGATTGTTGATAGGGTTGCCAAGTAGTACTCACCTCCGGAGCGGGGGACTCCCGGGTTTCCCCTTGGATGGTCGTGGCCCCGCCCCCAGCGTGCCCGGCGTCATAACGTCACTTCCTAGTGACGTGCACGCTGGGGGTGGGGTTCCCCCGAAGCCCGATTCCGCGGCGGCGGAAATCGGGCCTCCAAAGCGGGGGTTTACCCGCCACCCGCCTCCACTTGGCAGCCCTAATTGTTGAGGAGGTGGGTGGGATTTCCATTTTTTCCTTTGTGATTCCGCAGTTTGTCTAGCTATATTTCTGATTCATATCTTAGGCTGTTGAGAAGATTGCAGGCAGCTCCTTTGCAATCTATCACCTTCTATAGGACTCAGCATAGCAAGGTCTTTCTGACCATTTCCTTGAGAACTTCTAAAGTTGAAAAGTGACTAATATATCAAATGGAAATAAATAGTATTTTCTGTTAAATGCTGTTAACATGGCATTCTGACATATTGACATGGTATACTTTGCAAATGCATATTACTTCATTTTCTCTGTAACTATTTTTCTGTTCCCTGTTGGTGGCTTTTGTTCAATGAGTTTCTCATAAAATGCATTTGCCTTGCAGTGATTCTCCATTCATCATGTTGCATTACCAGCGGTGGCTAAGCTGAAGTTTCCTATACCTTGAGGAGAGTATGTATAAAAGGAATGGCCTCATGGCCAACGTGACAGTGACCTCCGCCACTCCAGAGGTACCCATACTATGTTTGTTTTCAGTTTTGTTAAATACTGTAGTAAACAGAATTTTCAGTTTATTTTAACATCCCTAGAAGTCATTCTGCCATCAGGTGGATTTGCCTGTTTAATGAAGAACCGTTGAATATTTAAAATAACCAAATTCTTCTGCTTCTGTTGTTAACGTGTGATGTTACCAGGAGAAGAAGTTCAATTCAAGAGCGATTTTGCTGGACCCTAGAGATTAGGAATCTTGCACTTGGAATGGAACTCTGGGTAACTTCCAATTGAAGTCTAGTTGTCAATGTGATGTTTTTATGTCAACTGTCGAATGGTTTTCAGACCTGTGGGTGAAAGAAGGAGGATCCAGCCTGTTTACATTGTGGCTTTGGAGCTTCCTTTTCCTTGCACCTGGATCTGTGGCATTAGTTCCCTCTTCATCTCTCCATCTTTTGCCTTCTGTCAGCTTCATGCCCAGAGTTGACAGCTGAGTATGAGAAAACCAAGCATTGTGGCATGAAGTAACTGAGACATCCTTTGTTGGATCCCCTCTGAAGAAACAGAAAACAGCTAAAAGTATGAAGAAACTAATCAGTGGATGCTAGGGATGGTCACAAACCAAGAAATGAACTGCAGTTTGAGCACAAACCATGCTGGTTTGTGGCTCGTTTTGAACTGGTTCATTTGGTTGCATTGTTCCTGAATCCAAAAATGAACTCCCTTTTTCCCCATGGAGGTTCATTTGGTTTGTTAGAGCGGTTTGTTCTTCAGACAGCCTGGCACCAATTCAGTCAATTCCTTTTTCCCCCCTTTTTTTTTTAATCCCCCGAAGGGTAGCTTTATTGATTTTTTATTACACCTACGTGACTACAAAAAGGAAAAGAGAGAAAGAAGGGGGAAAAAAGGAGAAAAAATGGGAGGGAATTCAGTCAATTCCTATTAGACAATGCTGGGGGTGGACTTGTGGAGAGCCCTAGAAACACCCAGAGCAGTTGTCCATAGATTGATTGGCAGCTCTGGGAGCCAACCATGGAGCTCCTATTCTGCTCTATGGGAGCACCCCACACCCTGACTGAGCTGTTTTCACTTTGCAGAAGGAAGAGAGAGAAGTTAATTGTTGTGTGAGAGCGAGTTAGGAAGAATTGTTTGCTGCATGGCTGATTTAAGGGGAGGCTAGAGCTATGTTTTCCTGGGGACACCTGCTTTAGGGAGCTATAACTCAGATATCCCAAATCCAGTCTTCACCAAACTTGGAGGGCAAGTGGAGGAGAGCCTGCTGAAGACTCCCTGTGAGTTTGGCATCTCTAAATTGCAAGGGGAGTGTTCTACCACCTCCCAAACCCATGAACTGAGCAAACCACAAACCAGTTCAGGAAGTGGAAAAAGTTTGTGAAAGTTTGTGGTTCATGGTTCATGTAATCAAATGAACCATGAACCACCGCTTTCCTGGTTTGTGCCCATCCCTAGTGAATGCTAAAAATGATAGCTTCTTGTAAATAGTATAGCCTAAGGGTTGCTGGCTTGCTGGTAGAACCTGGTCTGCAGAAAGCCATTGGTAGTTCCTGCTGACCTGGTCTGCAGAAAGCCATTGGTAGTTGCTGCTGAACTCTTAACCATGGTCCTGTTCTAATTGGCCAACTGTGTTCAGTAGAAAATATTTTCTCCAATGAATAACACATCCTAAAGACTTTAAAAGGCAAATGCTATGCTGGGGATTATTAGGAAGGGGATTGAAAACAAATCAGCCAGTATCATAATACCCCTGTATAAATTTATGGTGCAGCCTCATTTGGAATATTATGTACAGTTCTGGTCACCGTACCTCAAAAAAGATAGCATTGGAAAAGGTGCAGGAAAGGGCAACTAAAATGATTAAGGGAATGGAACACTTTCCCTATGAATAAAGGTTAAGCTTGGGGAAACTATGATTGAGTGGTGGCATGATAGAGGTTTATACAATTACGCATGGGATAGAGGTAGAGAAAGAAGTACTTTTCTCCCTTTCTCACAATACAAGAACACATTGGCACTCGAATTAATGAGCAGTATGCTGCAAACAGATAAAAGGAAGTACTTCTTCATCCAAAGAGCAATTAACATGTCGAAGTCACTGCCACGGGAAGTGGTGGTGGCTACAAGCATAGATAAACATGGAGCAGAGATCCATCAATGGCTATTAGCCACAAGGTATAGATGAACAGGAGGAGCTGCGGTGGCTCAAGTGGTTAAGACGCTGAACTGCAGGCTGTGGAAGGTCAGTAGTTCAGCAGTTTGAGACCCGGGTGCCGCAAGACGGAGTGAGCTCCCGTCTCTAGTTTCAGCTCCTGCCAACCTAGCAGTTTGAAAGCAAGAAATTGCAAGTAGATAAATAGGTACCGCTTTGGTGGGAAGGTAACAGCGTTCCGTACGCTTTGGTGTTTAGTCATGCCGGCCACATGACCACGGAAATGTCTTCGGACAGCGCTGGCTCTTCGGCTTTGAAACGGAGGTGAGCACCGCAACCCTAGAGTCGGATTCGACTGGCTTTCAAGCAAGGGAACCTTTACCTATAGATGGAACACTATTTCTGGGGCAGTGATACTCTGTATTCTTGGTGCTTGGGGGGCAACAGTGGGGGGATTTCTGGAGTTCTGACCCTGCTGGTGGACCTCCTGATGGCACCTGGGTTTTGGCCACTGTGTGACATGAGAGTGTTGGACTGGATGGGGCACTGGCCTAATCCAACATGGCTTCTCTTATGTTCTTACTCTTGAGCCCCTAGGACCTGCATAAAAACATATTTCAAAGTAGATTTCTGTGTTCTTTCAAACAGGCTTTCAGATTTGAAGAATAATATATCTCTAATAGCGACATGTGGCCTCCATCTGTGGTTGTCCAAATTCACAGCTGAGGGCCACCCAAGCACTGAACATATTTTCCTGCAAACTTTGGGGACCCCCCATTTGCAGGAAAATCTGAAGTCTTAAAAAAATGGGGGGGTGTTAAATCCCCCCAATAAAATAGCATTGTCTGCACATGGGCAGACAATCCACCATGATTTCAGGAGAGCTGGTGGTGGCAGACACAGGGAGATGCTCCGAGCCTGGTTGCGGCAGGTGCCAGGAGCCAGCTGGGAGCCATGCCAGGGCCAGTTGTGGTAGATGCTGGGAGCTGCTCCAGGCCCAGCTGCAGTGGCTGACACTGGGAGCCATGGTGGTGGCAGACACTGAGAGCTGCTCTGGCCAGGCTCCAAGGTGGGTGGTGGGGCCTGGAGCCACTCTGGACTTGGTGATGGGAGATGGGATTCCCCTGCCATGAGTCTTGTGGGCTCCCTACTTGTGTTCTTCTAATTGACAAATCAGTTCTGTATCAATTCAAAGTTTTACATATACATTTTCTTTACTTATGCGTTTATATCTAATTCTGAACATGTCTCCACAAAAAATCCATGTGGTGGGGCCATGAACAAACAGGGAACTTCCAGGTTTGCAGACAAATCGAAAAAGCGAGGGAGGTTTAAACACTTTAATGCCGAGAATGCTGATGAAGATCTCACAAAATCTTGCAAGGTCGCATCACTGTGTGTCGCATCAAGGCACTGCTATCTGGGCAGCCCCAGCGCAACAGGAAGAAAGCAGCAACTGCTGGGAGAGGAAGACAAAGGGATGATTGGGGATGGCGTAGAAAGTAGAGAAAAAGCTGAGAAGGGAGAGAAAGTGTGGGCCAGTTTCATGGGTACCTTGGTTGTATATTTGTATACTTAATAGCCGCATTCACTGCCAGAAAAATTGCAGAGTGGTCAATAGACCAAATGGAACAATAAATATTCTTCATCCCCAGATCCAAGATCTTTTTCATGCATGAACGAGAGGGCCAGTGCTGGTCTGAGTCCTTAGAATTGAGTGGAATATATGTACTTTGTTAATATGTAGTGGTTGATGAGCCTACTCTTGTTTTTTGTTTTTTTGGGCCCTCAAACATGCTTTTAGATGAAAACAATGTTCATAGTTGTTTCATCTGTGCAGCTTGCCAGGGCTTGCTGTAATTGTGAGATACTGTTCAGTTCATGAAAGAAAATACTATGCATAGTCCCAAGATCACTCGGTGTCCAGTTTCTCAAGCCAGAAATTAGTTTAGAAAATTCTGTGGTTGTTTGTACATACTCCAGGTATAACAAATAAAATTTAATTACTTGCACATGGGAATAGTTTACTTCTTACTTTTTCAGACTAAAACTATTTTCCACCTGTCCATAAGTTCAACAGTATCAAATATCTTTGCTTTAAAATCAGAACATGTTTTATAAAAGTAGAAATGTTACTGTAGATGTCTTCAATATCCCTGTGTGCATCTCCATTCAGTATCCCTTTGGCTTGTTGCTTTCAAACATTAACTGTCTTTCCCTGGTTCAGCAGCTTGTGATATGCACAACATTTTAATGTACACAGGGAGCTTCTTTGCCTACAATGACTGCCTTGTTCATTTTAATGGAAAAAACAGATTCACCCATGCATTCCATTTTTGCATGCAGATATGCTTAGTCTGTTGCAAGAGAAGGGCAGCTTGTGAGAAAATGTTTGCTGGCTGTCTCCATATTCTCGTTGAGGTTTCTCCATATAATTCTGTACATGAGTGGCAGGGGTGGAGAGCAACTGGTTTATATGTGGACTTTTCTTAGAACTCAGTCAGTTGGGTGTTTGCAGAAGTAAACTCTTCCCTCTCTAATCCAAAAGAGTTGTTTGTAATTAAAAGACTAGGAATTTAAGACTAGGGGTAGGATTGTGAAGCATTAGTCTGTTTTAATTCAGCTCCATTGAGTATGACGTGACACCTGCAAAAATAATCACGTTAATAAATTTTTTTTATCCTACCAAGTGTTTTAGTGAGATCTCCCAGCATTAGAAATTGGAAATACCAAATGTGAGCTTATGGAAGATGCCTTTTATTGGGCCCTATTCAGTTCATCTATTTGTAGAAAAGTTGTACAGAATTACTGGAATTCACAGTGGGTTCAAACCAACAGCTAAAATAAAAGAATCAACAGCAGAACTGAGTAATAGTAATAGTAATAGTTTATTAAGAACAGTCATAAGACCAGCAGAATGAACCAAAATATTAAACACAGAGTCCACAACATAAGAACCTTACAAGCAGCAGAACTGAGCAAGTTTGAGAATTCTTTATAAAAATGCAAAGGTCATGTTCTAAAAGTACAAGAAAAGTGACATATAAGGCTCAACTTTCATTTGTGGATAATACTGATAATTAATCCCTTCACAAATTTATGTTTACAAAAACCCATTTTTTTCTTTCATAGGGCAGTAGCAGTTCTGACTCACTGGAAGGACGGAGTTCAGATTATGCTCATAAAAGCTATGATGCAGTTGTATTTGATGTATTGAAAGTAACACCAGAGGAATTTGCAGTGAGTACAACTACTGGTTTTAAATTGATGCGTATGATTTCAAGTAGTCGCATGACAACTGTTTTCCCTGACACTGTACCTGCAGTGACCATATCCTCCCCCCGGCACCAAGGAGAGGGTTTTCCCCCCATTTCTTAAAAAATCAGCAATTGAATATTGTTATACTGCTATTACTTTATAACATTATGTGTAATAGGATCTCTGAATTCCTTGTTGTAATTTTTTAAAAGAAAAGTGAGTCTCTAGTCCCTTCTGTTGTGGATATGTAAGGTGAAAATGCATCTCTCTGCAATGGAAGGGGCTAGAGAGATTTTTCTCCCAAGTCAAGTACTTTTTTCAAGCTAAGTAATTTTATTGCATTGACGCAAGGTTTTTTGTTTTTTTTAAGTGAAATCTGGGAATTCACAGAACCTGTTATGCGCATTTCATAACATTATATCAATATAACAGTATTCAATTGCTGATTTAAAAATTGAAAAAGCCCCAGTGGCCTGAGAGGGGGGGATCACTTCTGCTGGGGGGATTGGAACAGGGAAACTGTGGGGAAACCCGCCATATGGAAGCTCTGTTGAGACTGTGCTGCATTAGCAGCCACACCAGCAGCAGGGAAACCACAAGCATCTGTCCCCATGTGGAAATGACCAGTGTGACTGGTAGAAACTATTGTATATATGTTATTTTTAAAATGTGTGCGGCCACCTTTCTGTTTAATAATCATTTAAGGTAGCTTACAGTAATAATAAAAAGAGAACCACAGCCATTAAACTGAAGATTTCCCTCCCCAACTCAGGGCATTATAGCATACCACCAAAACCATAACACATTAAAAAAACTCCACCAAAGGGCAAGGCTCAGAGTGAATCAGCTGCTAGCAGTGCATTCCTTATCAGAGTCACATCAAATAAATTAGAAGGATCTAACGCATTTGGGATGGTGCTGTAAAAAGTATGAACAAAGACAGTCTTCACCCAGCTCCTAAAATTGAGAAAGGTAGCACCAAGCAAGCATCTTATGGGAGGGATTACAAAATAGTGCATTCACAAGAAAGGCCCTTTCTTTGATAGACACCTGCCTTCCTTCTGAAGGTTGGTGAACCCAGAGAAGGATGATGCTTTATGTGTGCTGATTTTGACAGAGTTGAAAGAAGTGTTAGCCAGAGAAGCCAGCTGCTTTACTTTCATTTTACATAAGGTTCATATGCCGATTAAATTGTATGAGACTACAAAACGAGACACTAGAAAAAGTGCAAAGGAAGACAAGGATTTCTCCTACTCTGAAACTGTGAGAAAAGTAGAAACTGGAGGTTGGGGACTGAAAATGGGAAAACACAAATCACCCCTTCTCCTTAGCTATTTCAGGGTGAAATTTCAATGGGTAGGTTGGTGAATAGTTTTGGAATTGGGGGGGGGGGGGGGGGGTTGTATGTTTTTTTTAAATTATTTACATTTACAGGTTGTCTTGTGTATGTACCCTTATTGCATCACAGCTTAATAGTGCATCTTATCATATCAGTGTCAGGACTTGTATGTACTGTCAGTACTTGTCACCGTCCAGAGTCTGGGTGCTATTTGAATTTTCTGCTTCAAGGCCAAAATATATTGGGCTGGTCCTGGACCAAATTTTTGTAAATGTGTAATTGTTCTATCTTTAATCTTTGTTACAGAGTCAGATTACATTAATGGATATGCCAGTATTTAAAGCTATACAACCAGAGGTATGTGCTTTATTTTAACTGTAAGTGCTGTTGAGATGTGTTGGAGACTCTGTTGCTGCTCTCATTCTCTCTCTCTCTGCTTTCTTTTGCTTCCTTTCTACCCTCAGACGCTTTCCTCTTTTCCATCTCCAAATCATTAGGGAAATGAACTACCATAGCTGCAGCCAAATGTTTCTCCTTCAAACCCTCCTAATGGCTAGGTGTCTTCCCAGCTTCTTCAGTGATGCCTTGTGCCTCATTTGACCTATAGGGGCTGGCAGAGTGGCATCTCTGGCTTTAGAACCAGGAATGAATTTCTTGTGGTCAGGGCTTGGAAAACACCAGGATAAGCATGGAATTGGAGAACATGGTCAGGATTTGGTACGTGGGAGCCTTAGTAAAATTCTAAAGCACTGAAGAAGTCTGCATGCACACGAAAGCTTATACCCAGAATTAAACTTTGTTGGTGTTAAAGATGCCACTGAACTCAAACTTTGTTCTCTGTTAAGTCTGTTCCAGCCAAAACAAGAGTTTAGTGGCATCTTAAACTCTTATTATGTGTAAGGTTGCCTGAGCTAGAGCCTACTTTGTCAGATGCATGCAATGTAATGCATCCTAGGTAGAGTTACACTCTCTAAGCCCGTTGACTTCAATGGAATTAGAAGGGTATACTCTCCTTAGGATGGCAGTGTTAGTGTTTATTTTCTTGCCACTTACTGTAACTGATGAACTGGAGCGTTGCTCATGAAGGTTTATACCATAATAAATTTGAAACTTAAATTGTCACTATTCTCTGTCAGTAGAGTTGTCCTCTGTTAACTTATGTGCCATCTTGAAATAATGTAGTTTGAAATACTCTGTGTTTGCTTCTGAAATCTTCTCTGCTAAAAAATCTTTTTTCTGTTGCGTGATTTGCAGTGGTTTGTTCTGCATCAGAAGGAGCTTTGTAAGTGTATGAACCTAAAAAAGAAGCACAGTTGAAAATTTGAATGTATTTAAAGAAGCATTATTTGGATGTATATTTAAATAACGCTTTTCTTGTTATGTCAATTGACTGCAGCCCTATTAGAGCCAGACATAGCAGTGGCAGGACTTCGTTACATTCTAATGTTGATGTTTGCAGACAGCAGAAGATGGAAATGTGGTTTGGGGCAACATCTTTAAAATTGTTTGACGCTTCTTATTTTAGAAGTCAAAATAGTGAAAACCCAGGCTTTCTAGGAAGCCATGTAGACACTGAGTTAGTTTGGCAGGATGCAAGGGAAACTTTGAAGTCTTGCAAATATTATATAGTGGTCCTTTTCCCTAATGAATATAAGAAGTGACTAATTTTACCAAGACGTGGCTGGTAAATGCAGTCAGAACTCTGAAACATAAATGCTTACATCTGCGCTTGAACATATAGCATATGCAGTGTATTCTAGGACCAATTAGACCTCAACTTCTCATATTGCTATCAGGTTTTTCAGCTGCCCTGTTCAGTACTGTGTAGTCAAGTAAAACAATTACATTGTAGCCTGTGTTATTCTTTGGACTTGTTTTTGTTGTATGTTGCTGATAACAGTATAAAATAAGCCTTATATATATATATTGGTATTAAGAATGGTTCTAATAAGCTCTATTTTAGTAGGGCCAGCCTTAAGTGCAATCATGTGCAGAGTTACACCTGTCTAAACCTGTTGAAGTCCTGGCTGGCACTGTGTATTTTGACATTTTGGAGAGCCCATGTGGTATAGTGGTTGAGTGCTGGACTGGAAGAATGGGATAAAAGAGTATCTTAGAGATTTTCGGTAATGTTTTGCCACCAGTCCCATGGTTGTCTTCTGCTTATCAAAGCAAGCTCGGTAGCTCCAGGCGTCCTTCGGGGAGTATCCTAAGGCTGGACATCAAACTTCTCTGTAACAAGCCTTCACAGATTCAGACATGACAATAAGTGGTTGGTAGAGTGAGGGTGTGCATTTTCATAGGAGCAGGCTGAAAACTAATAATTCTGCAGAGGAAGGTAAAGTTTAGAAATAGGGTTTTAATTCGAAGATAAGAAGTTAGTAAAGAAGCCACAGGATTGGAATAGGTCAGTATACATTCCAATCCCAAAGAAGGGCAATGCCAAAGAATGTTCAAACTATCGCACAATTGCACTCATATCACACGCTAGCAAGGTCATGCTCAAGATCCTACAAGCTAGGCTTCAACAGTACGTGGATAGAGAACTACCAGAAGTACAAGCTGGGTTTCGAAGAGGTAGAGGAACTAGAGATCAAATTGCCAACATTCGCTGGATTATGGAGAAAGCAAGAGAGTACCAGAAAAATATCTACTTCTGCTTCATTGACTATGCTAAAGCTTTTGACTGTGTGGATCACAACAAACTATGGCAGGTCCTTAAAGAGATGGGAGTACCAGACCACCTCACATGTCTCTTGAGAAACCTGTATAAGGGCCAAGAAGCGACAGTTAGAACCGGATACGGAACAACTGATTGGTTCAGCATAGGAAAAGGAGTACGACAAGGATGTATACTGTCACCTTGCTTATTTAATATATATGCAGAGTACATCATGCGAAATGCTGGCCTGGATGAATCACAAGCGGGAATTAAGATTGCTGGGGAAAAGATCAACAACCTCAGATATGCAGACGATACCACTCTAATGGCAGAAAGTGAAGAGGACCTAAAGAGCCTCTTGCTCAGGGTAAAAGAGGAGAGCGCAAAAGTGGGCTTGAAGCTCAACATCAAAAAAACTAAGATCATGGCATCCGGCCCCATCACTCCTTGGCAAATAGAAGGGGAAGCTGTGGAAGTAGTGACAGACTTCACGTTCCTGGGATCCCAGATCACCGCAGACTGTGACTGCAGCCATGAAATTAAAAGACGCCTGCTCCTTGGGAGGAAAGCGATGGCGAACCTAAACAGCATGATAAAAAGTAGAGACATCACCCTGCCAACAAAAATACGCATGGTCCAAGCAATGGTATTCCCAGTAGTCATGTATGGCTGCGAGAGTTGGACTATAAGGAAGGCCGAGCGCCGAAGAATAGATTCTTTTGAACTATGGTGCTGGAGAAGACTCTTGAGAGTTCCTTGGACTGCAAGGAGATCAAATCAGTCAATCCTCAAAGAAATCAACCCTGACTGTTCCCTGGAAGGCCAGATAATGAAACTGAAGCTCAAATACTTTGGCCACCAAATGAGAAGGGAGCACTCACTGGAGAAGACCCTGATGCTGGGAAAGATTGAAGGTCAAAGAAGACGGGGACGGCAAAGGATGAGATGGTTGGACAGTGTCATCGATGCAACGAACATGAAACTGAGACAACTTCAGAGGACAGCGGAAGACAGGAGGGCCTGGCGGGATCTAGTCCATGGGGTCGCGAAGAGTCGGACTCGACTGTGCGACTGAACAACAACAAAAAAGAAGCTATTATTGTGGAACTGTATACTTGTTAGTCTTGTCAACAGCTCAGTCTCTTTATACAGGATGTGTGCAGAGAGAAATATGACTACAATTCAGCTTCAAGACCTGTATTATTTGAATTGAATGAAAGCAGATGGCTTAATGATTAATATTAACATTAATGGTTGGAATCTTAATGTTGGAGGACTAAAGGGCAGAGGATCAGAACAAGACAAAGTGAAACCAATTCAAAAGAACCTCATTACTCAGATCAGATTTATTATATCCCTCCTTCTAATAGCGTTCTTTGTGATCTGATACTACAAAGGTACTTGTCGTGATCAGGTTAAAGGGAGCTCCAATTTTCCCAATCTTCACTGCTCTCAGCACCTGAGTAAGGGCAGCGTGCGCATACTGGGTAGTGTTGCTACCACCTGCCCTATATGGAGGCTTACCAGCAGAGCCTGCAAGGCACAGCTCTATCCCCTTGTTCAGAACTTACAACCACAGAAAACTGGCACCAGTTGCTGACTGAGAATTCACCCAGAAATCAAAGGCAGTCACAGGCAATGCTCACTCTAAGCTGTGGAGTCTTGTGAGCAGAAATTCTATTTTGTGAGCAACTGGCATTAAAGTTGTGAGTGAGTGATTTGGCTACTGCATAAATTAGTTTGCTCTGGAGCCATCCTTCCTGAGCTAAGACAAAAATGTGTGAGCTGGAGGCTAAAAAACTGTGAGCTAGCCCACACTAACTCAGCTTAGAGGGAACACTGGTCACAGGGTGCACAGAGATTCTGAGAATAAACAAGGGTGTGTTTGAGAGTGAGAGCATGCAAACAAGGACAGAGTTGCAAAAAAGAACAGATCCCAATACAGTCCTGACTATACTTTCCTAACCTTGACTTATATCTGTCCAATTCACCCAAGCTATTGTTGCCATCCTATTGTTGAGAGCCAGCTTGGTTTATTTATTTATTTATTCAATTTCTATACCACTCCATCCCGGAGGCTCTGAGCGGTTTACATGGGCATTTTATAACTTCCTAGCTAGGGCCACACAATGTATAGGGAAGGTGAGTGCCTACCTACAAGGGAGTGGTGGCGCAGGCAGTAAATGAAGCCTGTATTGCCACCTGGCCGCTTCGGCTGTTCGAGCCCCACTGTGGCCGGAGTGAGCTCCCGGCCCTATGTCCCAGCTCCCGCCCACCCAGCAGCTCGAAAGCTCGTTAAAGGACAAGTAGACAAATGGGTACCTGCTCTTAGAGCAGGGGGGCACCCGTCCTTCGTGGCGGCGACGGTGGAGACCATGGCGGCAGTTGGCGAGACGAGTGAGAGAGCGGAGGCTGGGTTGGCGGAGCGTAGAGGCGGGGGGACGGCGCCGGCCGCAGGGACTGAGGCTGGCTGCGGGAGCACACGCTGACGTGTGCTTGGCCCAGGCCTGGGAGGAGTCACAACGACCAAAGGAAGACCTGCGCCAGGAAGACGTCGTCACCGGACTGGAAAAAGGCCGCCCGCAGAGAGACCATAATAACGAAGTCTCCACTTCAGGGTGCCTGTTAGGTTAGTCACTTCCCCCATTGTATGTGTGTGTGGCCTTAGGTAGGAATTGTATCAAATGTATGATGT